TACCAGATGTCTGAAACTGCCCATCCTCCCAAAGTGTGTGCGTGTGTATGTGTGTGTGTGTGTGTGTGTGTGTGAGAGGGAGAGTATATATATATATAGAGAGAGAGAGAGAGAGAGAGAGAGAGAGAGAGAGACTATTTCCTATGGTAGGAGATGACTCTGAGGCTGGCTAATTTAATGCCTTGAATGTATAAGTAGGTTTTAGATTGTATTCTAAGATGAACTGCCTTGAATAAGTGCCTTGCCCTAAGGTTTTTAGAAGTAGAATTGTTTCTCTCTAAAGAGATGACATTTAAGCTATCTTTCACCTTAGTGGTACTGGAGCTTTAAATTGTAATTAAATCAAAGGGAAATATATTGTTGCTTAATATATACATAGTTGCCATATATATGTATAGAGAAGTAAATTGAACTATAAAAGTAAGTTACATGTGAACATCTTAGTATGTTTTCATTTACTTGTGTGATTCATCTATATTTCTACTCAACATATTCTGATTTTCAGAATCAAGAAAATCTCAAATCTGGAAAATCTAATTAACTTAGATGTCTTGGATCTTCATGGAAATCAGGTATTGTGAAGCCCTTTTCTTTTTTCTCTTTACAAAAAATGTCTAGAAAATTGATATTATAATACTTTTAAGAATTGTAATTGCATTGAATTTTTCAAGAATTACTGATTCATTGATTTAAGCCTATTTATGCAAGTTTTGGTAGCTATTAGCAATAAATCACAGATAAAACATGAAACATTTGGAAACCTTGTAGTTATGGCAATATTTGTATGGTTTTCAAATTATATTTTAGAGGTTCTTAAGCACCACGTGGGATCTTCAAGTCTACCTGGTAAGTGAATATCATGTCATTCTGCCTATGCACTATATATAGGCGTTATATAGGCATTATTATGCACTATATATAGGCATTATTTACGAAGCAGCTTTACCAACAATGATGCTAATGAAGAATGCTGTTCTCTGTTAGCACATCTGTGTTATGTATCTTATAATTGCAGCATGTTTGTGATACTCTGTGGTTTAAGATTAAACATTTCTACTATATAAATTATTTCTCAGGTTTCTGTATTTGCAAAAAGAAAAAACTTAAATGAAAATCTGAGTCTTGTTTCAAAATTTCTAAATCCAATAAGCAAAAACTTGTAGTATTCCAACAAAAATGAATGCTCTTAGCGACTTCAGGTTTCTGAAGTCAGAAGATAAATTATTCAAGATAAAAAAATGAGCTTCCTCCTTCCTTCCTTCCTTCTCTTCTCTGTCCTCCCTTTCTTTCTCTCCCTTCTCCTTCTCGTCCCCACCTCTTTTTTCTCCTTTTCTTTCTCTCTCTTCTCTCCTTTTCCTTTCTCGCTGCTCAACAACTCACCCCTCTTCAGAGGCAGGACAGACGTGCGCGAGCGCGGTGACGTCAGCGCACACACACACACAGCCTAGGAAGGATGCCAGGGACCACAGGGCCAAGGGGCGGGAGGCCACGCTCAGGGGCGGGGCTTGGCTGTCAGAGAAGCGCGCAAGCCTGTGGGCGGGGCGGAGCTCAGGCTCAGTTCCCGCGAGATCTGAGGTGGTTGACTCCTGGAGGGCGGGCTCTGGCGGTTGCTTTTGAATCTGGTCCTAGAACGCAGAAGGCCGTCCGTAGGTTTGCAGGACAAATGCCATTTGAACACTCACATCTGTTATGGAAAAACCGGACTCATTTGTGCAGGCGGGGTCTAAGGAGCTGGTCGGAGACCTGCAGTTTGTTCAGCTTGATAAAGATGACTCTGATCCTTTCAGAGTCATCTAGTAAATGAGTTACTAGATGAATTGTCAAGGATACAATAAGAAGAATTAATGCAAAGAGTGAAGAATTTATTAAGAGAATAAACTGTTAGAAAGCCCAGTGGATGGGCAGCAGATAGTAGAAGTCCAGGATAAAGATAATACAGAAACAGAGCAAGGTCCAAATATAAAAAAAAAAAAAAAGTGTGGAAATAATCCGTACAATATGTCTATGATTCTGGTTTCTGTCTCTGTAATAAGTGAAAGTGAGAACTACGAGGGCCTTTTGGAATGTACGCAATCCTAACTTGCATTTTATATGCGTTGCTGGAATCTTAAACAGAGGCTACAGAGCGCAGTCCAGGCCTTGTGTATCAGGTGGTGGGGGCAGGGCCTGCCTGCCAAGGACGACCTGGAGGAGGTGGCGTTTGTCATGCTGGTGAGGAGGAGTCTGGAGACCAGAGCCGGTGCTGATCTGTGTTGACTCTGGCGTGTTCATCAGGCTTTATATTCCTTTGGTTATGACTCAGAGGAGAGTAGGGAAATTAAAAATATGCTATTTGAGTGCTTCACACATGTTAGTTACCTCAAGAAAGAAGATGGAAAATTTCTCAGTTCTTTTTTCAGTTGGAGTGTAAACTTCATTAAAATGATTCATGGAACCCTTAAACTACAGTTACTGGGATTACAAAAATCTCTGATAGTGCACATTGCAGAAATTTATTTCAGAGCTTAGAACAAGACTTCGGGGGAAATACTGAAAATGATTGCATCCAGGACTTTATGTTCCATGGCATACATCTTCCACAGAAGTCTCTGTGCACTCCGAAGTCCAGGAGGTGCTGAGATACTTTCACCATCAAAAGAATGTTCAGTCGGGAGGGGAAGAGATGCTGTAGAAATTACATAAGCCCATCTTTTGGAAGGGACTGAAGTCCAGAAATTCTGCTGCATTGTTTCTTGAGGCATTTCCTGTTCTAGGTCCTAACTCTATGCTATGGAGATGAGTGGTGAAATTTAGAAACAGTTTGAGAACTGTATAACCTTCTAGAAGATCCTTATCTGATGGTCTAATCCACAGGGATCCTTGGTATTTGTAAAATAACCTCCAAATACTGGGAAATGATGCCCCCCCCTTCTCACTGATTCCATGAGGAAATTGACCAGGGGGCTGGCATTTCATAGCAGCTCAGTTGGGGTGCTTTGCTCTGTCTTTAAGTGCCTGCTGGTAATTTTGGATAACAAACTGAGCCACCTTTTATTAGAACAGCTGTTCCAGCACTTAGCTGCAGTCTCTGTGACAACTTGGAGAAAGTGGGAGTGGCCTTTGTGGCTGTGCTGCTGAAAATCAAAATTATACATGTGCTGTGAAGTCTTGGAAAACATGCCCCATGGAACACATTTTGGTTCTTCTAGAAACAAAGTTAACCCATGTCTGGGTGCCTGGCCAGCCTCATCTTCAGCTCCTTCCTGCCTGTGAACCAGCTGGAGGAGGTCTGGTGTGAGTGCTCATGATGTTCCCGAGGAAACCCCTGGCTGCCTGGAGGTTCTAGCAGTATGCCCACGAGCGCACTGCCTGCGCCAACATAGCAAAGCTGATCCATGGTATTTGCCACTGCTTGAACACCAGCATCCAAAGGACATTAAGAGAGCATCAGGACCAAGAGGAGCGGGAGAAGGAGAATGTGAGCATTGTGGACAAAACATTATCAGTAAATGATGTTGGGTCCATGGCAGGTTTAGTAGAAATCATTGTGATTCTCTGGAAGAACATTCATAGAAGTCTGGATGATAATAAAGAGGATAATAAAAGTCTACACTGTTAAGAAGTTTGCCTCTGTGCTTCCAGAGTACAGTACCTGGAAGTACAGTGGACCCTCGAGTTATATGACCAGAATTTTATTTTTAACTTACAACCAGTGTCTTGAGTTATGACCTAAATGCCAGCGGCTTGTGCTCCCAGCTGGTCTCAGATACAGATGTAACCCTTAAAGAGTTTTGGAAGAAACATTACCACATCCTTTCCTTTACAGGGTTAATTGAGAAATCCTGGGCCAATGTCTCTTTAAGGACACTGAGATCTGCCTGTGTACAGGAGAGGGACTTTGAAGGCTGTGTAGAGGAGCCTGAGCCTTCAACTGACACCTTGAGTTACCGCCAGCCCTTGGGCACTACTTGAGTTCATAAGTCAAAGGTCCATTCTGTTTCAGGTTGATTGCTGCAAGATCCCTTTATACCTTCCAGGGTCCACCGTCCTTCTATATAGTTCCATCATTTGCAGATATTCGTAACCTTGTTCCTTCTTTTGCAATTTTATATATGATTTTATTTCATTTTTACGTAACTAGATAAACGAATCTTAGAACAAATTTTAAACATGACTATAGCTTACCTTTACATAGTACTGAATTTATAATTCACGTACATGTGCCTCTTCTTGAATTTGGGAGGAATCTAGATGGTATTTCTTGAATATAAGGTAAGGTCAAAATAACAACATGGAAACTAGATTATAAATTCAAAAAACAGTTCTTTTAGCTAATGTGCTTTAAAATGTTAGATAAAAATTAGAATAGACAATGTTATCATAGACAATATTGTCTATGTTATCCTAGACAATACAGATTGGCAGATTAATTTCTACTGATTATGAAATTCATTTTCTTAATGTTCAGAAGAAAAGTACTGTACCATGTGCATAACTCGTTGTTACTTAAGTCACTATTAGAGATTTAAGGAGGACACTATTCTGTGCCATGCAGAGAGTCATCCTGTTGTGCTGTGCCTGCTATATTATAATAATGAGGCTTGAAATCGTGCTGAGCGCTCACTGCATGATGGGGAAGTCAAAGGCCTGCATACAGGGCCGATGCGCATGTGCAGATTCCAGGATTCAAGTCCTCTTGTTCCAAACCGTGTCCACCTTATTGTCCCTGAGTAAGCAGTGTTCATCTCCTCCTTTAGCCATTTCTACTGATAAAACAGCCACCCTCGCTTTCCACTGGGGATCCTAGTTCTTTGAATTTTTCCATTCAGACTCTTGACTGCCCTCAGGATCCTGCAGTGTAAACACAGTTAACAAGGGGAGGTTGATTTTGTTCTTCTCCTTGGTGCGCTCATACCTTGGGCTCCTAGTGAGTTTGGTTTTGGCAGGTAGTCAGCAGCCTGCATAACCGCTCATAGTGTTGGGCACTTAGAGCTCCTTCAAATAACGGACTTATTTTTTTATGAAATTTACATCAAGTATTTACTATAGGCAAATTGTAAATTGTGCTCTTTAGTTAATTTTGACAAATTAAATGCCTTTCTATTATCTATAACAATAGGTTATTGGAAATAGATTTTAAAAGTCTTCATATAAGCTTATTACTAGATCCAATGACTTTGAATATTTTATTTTTAGGTTTTTATAATATGCATATGAGGTATGCTAATCACCCTACTCTATTTTTTTTAACAGATTACCAAAATTGAAAATGTCAATCATTTGTGTGATTTGAGAGTTTTAAATCTTGCCAGGAACCTTTTAAGTCATGTTGATAATCTTAATGGGCTGGATTCACTAACTGAACTTAACCTGCGACACAATCAAATCACTTTTGTGGTGAGTCCTCAATGGAATCAATATCTACTTTCTGGTTTTAAGGAAGTGACACAAAGGTTATATAGTACTGCTCTGCGCAAAGACAGAATCTAGGGTTATTTAGTTTTCTGAATTTAAATGGTGCATATTATTACTAAGTATTGTAATATGGTGCTTTGGGGAATATTAAGGTGCTTTGCATCTTAAAGGATAAATGTAATAGAAACAGAAAAGAAATGTTACCACTAAATGAATCAGGTAGTATAAATGAATACTGAATCCTTTCCTGGTTTGTGTTAGGAATAAAATTAGAAGAAAGTTCTCGGTGAATGAACATTGAGGAACTCTTGGGCCAAGAAGAAAAATAACAGAGAGGACCAGCTGAGGGTTGTGAAGATGCTTATGATCACATCATTGGTAGTTTCTAGAGAGGCAACTTGGTATAGTGGAAAAAGTATTGTTTAGGGCATCAGAGGCCTAGTTTTGGTCTCAGCTTCACCTCTGATTTGCTGTGCAATCTTGAGTAAATCATTTAATTCACTGGGTCTTTGTTGAATTTTTCCTAAAACAAAGGAAGGCATTGGGCTAAATTGTTTTGAGGATCTCTTGTGGCTTGTTGACTGAGAAAAGACATAAAGGTGGTAAGGAACTAGCATGTGAGCAGGAAGAAAAAAGATCATGGAGGCAACACTCCTGACGGAAGCATCTGTATCTGAGGCAACCTTGAGTTAGATTTATGGTTTTGTGGGATTGGGGGTCTGTAACTAAACAGAGGCTGATGCTGAGGTATTTTGTATTGGTGCATATGAGGAGAGCTCTAGAAGTGAAGCTGTTCAGCTCTGTGGAATGATATAGGCCAAGAGGACTTCTAATTATAAAACATGAGTTGTTCTTTTACCAGGTTTCCTTTGTTTAAACCGTATAAGGAAGTGGCATTAGACTCTCCCTGGTATCATTTCAGCACTTTTAAAGGCATAGTCTAACTTAAGTTTTTCAAAACACTGGATCCCTTAGGAAAGCAGGAAGTATGCTACAGGTGGTGCTATTGAAAAGGCTGGCAGACAGTAGATGCCGTATCTCTAGGCCTGTTTGTGCAGACTGGTTTCATTTTGAAGTTTTCCTGGGAAATCGAAGGTAGTAAAATGCTATTTCTTTTAGGATGTTAGGGATAATTTCAGAACCTTCTCTAACACATGAATTTTTTTCAGAATTTCCAAATTTTGTCAAGCCCTTCCCAGACTGGATATAAATATTGGAACTGGGCTATTTACTTTAAAAGACATCCAGATTGGGTTAATCTCTTATGTGGCTAAATCTCCAGAAACTGCTCAATCAGGACTTATCTGTCCCCAGGACACTGGATCTGGCAAGAATTTAGAAAGCTTGGCAGACGGGGGAACAGAAATGTGTTGGCCCTAGCATATTCCTGCCTGTCTTTTGGCTTTCATTCAGCAAGCATGTAATGCCTAACCAGGAAATTGCTTACTCAATTTCCTATTTAGTGTCATCTCTAATCATTCCTGTTACGTCTTAAGCAGCAGTAATATCTTATGGAAAAGAAAGTTATATTAATTTTAAAAGTTAAAAAAATGTAAA